AATATAAAATAAATAAATTTGCCAAGATTAATCAAAACATTTCTATAAAAAAAGCAAACTACAACGTTTTACTCCATAAGAATAACATGGAAGTTTTAAATTAACAAATTTTGTATTTTCTCCACAACCAATAACAGTACAAAGACAATTTACTAAATGATTTGTTTTTAAGCCCTTTAAAATAGTCTAGAAAGAAATTGAGGAATTTTGTGTTTTAAAAATCAAAAATGGAAACCCCAAATTTTTACCCCATAAACCCCCCCCCCCCGGGGCAAAACCTTGATCTCATGGTCTGATCATGCTGGTTCGTGAGCTCATTCAAGTTTATCCCGCCTTACATCTTGAAACCAAATTTCATCAAAATTGAACAAATATAAAAATTTGAAGAATAGTGTTTTGGCCTCTAGCACAGAAACACATACTAGGGACATCAAAAGGAAAAATTACATCGGTCCCGGCTCCAGGTCTTACAGTGCATTTATTTGGATTCACCTACATATAACAAACCTAAATATAGCTATACTTCCCTATAGGGAAATTCGCTAACAGTAATAAAACATGAAATAACACGTTACAGGATAATCATTTTAATTGCCTTTAATAATATTAATGTTTATATTAATTTGGAAGAATTTAAGTATCACATCAATTACTTAATTCAAAATTAACATTATTGATATCACTGATTTAACGGTTTCAATTTTTAAAATGCATTTTAAACCTTGACTTAACAAACAAACAAATTACAACATAGATGCCTATAATATTACGGCAAAATATTACCCAATTATTTAATATACCAATTAAAGAGTTTAATTGTCATATTAAATTAGAACTATAAACGCTAGAGCAGGCGGACGTTCGGTGCGGCGCTCGCGAGGGCGTACAAAAATATACCAGGACACACCATCGTACATCGGACCGATCTTTTCTTTGATCTTTCGCCAAAAAACCACCTCCAAAGCGTTCTTCTCCCTGCTCGACCTGATGTCTGGTTCGCCGTCTGAATCGGTGTACGGGCCCCTGACACACTATCGAACATGCTCCCTTCGACCTCCCTTCTTGATCGGAGAAAAGATCGAAAATGTGCCACCGTGTTTACAGTCCAGTCATAGTTTAGTCTCAGTTGCATGCGCAATTCCTCAGACAACTTTCCATCAGTTGGTTTCAGTAAGTCTCCTGTCTCTAATTTACAGTGATGTTACAGTAAAACATTTTAATTTAAACCCTATATTTTATCAAATTGTTATAGTTCATCTTGTTGATTGGTACAAACAGTACTCAAAATATAAACTAGTGATGGTCAAAACCAGAAATTTCGAATCTCGAAACCAAAACCGAAACATAAAAAATCGAATCCCGAATCTCGAATCTCAAAACTTGAACGCGAAACGTTTTAGTTACCTGGTCAAGGTTGCTAAAAAATGAAAATACAGGTAATGATTACATTTTCATTATGATTATGCAATAAAAACTGAAAGATATTGATTGACTCCTAATCCTGACATAGGTAATAACATAAATGTGACAGATAAACATCAAACCCAAATATCATATTTTTTTATAAACAACTAACATTAAAATAAATGAAACCCTTGACATTGAAATAAACATTAAGTAATATGTGCACAAGTGACGCGAGGCCAGTTGACACAACCCGCTTAACAATGAACATGACTTTTCAGTAATATAAATAACACGACTATCTCTTGTAAGACATGTACTGGATGGTAAACATGGAATTCAATTTACCTCAGGTCAGCTGGGAAAGTTTTCTGCAAAAGTGGTGGTTGGGGGAGGCATGGTGTCAATCTCTTCCCCGAGCTATATTATAACTAGGAATACGACTACCCCATACGTGCTGCGGCATCGGTAGATTTGCGGGTACGGCGCTCTAGTGTTAGTTTTATTATTTATTTGTACTAAAGTACATTAGGTAATTAATTATGTGTTTAAAACTAAACTAAAGACCAACGTTAGAAAAGCGACAACGGGAACATCTCGTGAGCAACTTTTTGCGATTACGGCAACATAGTCCCGCGATTACGGGTTTTTTACTGGACGTGATGACGTGAAGAAACGAACTGACATAAAAGTCGACAATTAATGGACACTCAGCGATATGCTATCGAGAACTCGTACAACATTTAAATATCCGGCACTTTTCGAAATGTATGTAGCCTACAAACCATTCACTGGCTGTTGTCCTGTCTTCCAAATTCGGGCATAGTCCCCGGGTAAAGTTTCCCGGTCGGCTGGAAATGTTAGATATTCAGTAGTTAGTTCATTTAATTTAGAATTACAAGCTGCAATTGTAATGAGTGTTATTTTTATGAAGGGAGAATCCATGATCACGGTAACATCCTGAATATTTTCCGTGGTCCCGTAGATATCATAATCAAGTCTCAATATCGTATTCCGAAATCACGGCAAAATCGTGAATTTTCCGAACGCGAAATCTTTGCAGATTCGTGATACGATCATGATATCAAAAGCTCTGCGCGAATCGGCGCATTTCCTATAAAATATCAGAAATTTCGGCAAAGACTTGCTTTCGGATTTGTGTATAAAACGATAATTTTCAAACTTTCTATTTCATTTTCTATTTCACTTTATATTTATTTATTTATTTTTAAATAGAATTAACTTTCACATTGCATTCATGTATACAATTTTAGCGAATTTCCCATATAGGGAATGAGCTATTACCGTAGTACTCATGGTAAGACCTGGTTTTGGACCCGGGACCAAATTCATATATATATATATATATATACAGTGTTAGTATAAAGTGTGGAGACCCCCTGTTATTTTTTTAACGGCCCATACTAGAAAAACTAAACCCTGCACACCTTTATGGCATGTAATGAAGTAATTTTTGGGCATAACCGCCACTTGGTGTACATCCCCAAAATTGGGGATTTTGGGGGAAACTCAACAATTTCAAATGCAAAGACCCATAGAGTGATCCCTCATTTTGAAGGTCCTGATAAAAGAAAACCAACAACGCAAACTAGAGGTTTCTATGTAAATCCTGTAAAAAATGGCAGTCAATTGAAATTCTCAGAAGTTAAATTTAACTTGCAGCTTTCCAAGTCTGGATACCCCCTGTAAATTTTGTAACGGCTCACACTAGAAAAACTAAACTCTACACACCTTTTTGGTATGTTATGAAGTACTTTTTAAGCCTAATAGCCACTTGGTTCCCAAACCCAAAATGGGGGATTTTGGGGAAAACTCAAAAATTTTTAATTATGAGCCCCATTGAGTGACCCCTCATTTTGAAGGTCCTGGTAAAAGAAAACTAACAACAGAAACTAAAGGTTTCTATCTCAATCTAGTAAAAAATGGAAGCTGATTGAAATCTTTAGAAATCAGAAATAACTTGCAGTTTTATATTCAATTGGCTGCCATATTTTACTGTGTCAAGATAGAAACCTCTAGTTTGCGTTGTTAGTTTTCTTTTATTATGACCTTCAAATAAAAAAATAAAAATAAATAGTGGCGGTTATGCCCAAAAAGTAATTCATAACATGCCATAAAGGTGTGCAGAGTTTAGTTTTTCTAGTATGGGCCGTTAAAAAAGTAACAGGGGGTCTCCACACATTTTACTAATCCTGTATATATGTCAGCGCGATATCTCCAGCAAAAATGAAATTTGGTACAAACGTGTAAACCTACGTTTATTCGAACGAGTTTGCGAACCAGCATAATCGGACCATGGGAACGGGGGTTTATGGGGTGTTTTATGGGGTAAAAATGGGTTTTCTCCATTTTGACACTAAAAACAAAAAAAAATTCAATTTCTTTTAAAACCATTTTGTAGAGCTTAAAAAAAGAAACAATTTAGTATATTGAAGCGCTGTTGTATGCCCAACGGTCACGGAGAAAATTCCAAAATAGTGTATTTTAAAATTCCCATGTTATTCTAATGAGAAAATTAAAACTGTTGTAGTTTACTTGTTTATGGATGTATGATGATAAAATTTTGCAAAGTTATTTATTTCATCTTATACTATTGCCGTATGGTCAAAAACTCTTTTTACCTTCCCTGTAGCAGCAAACCCAAGTTCACTTATTAAATCTATTGTTATTTAAATTGCGAATAAATATGTCTTATTTCTGGAAATATTTGAGTAGAAATGTAATCAGACAAGTTGAAATTCGCTTAGTCTGCAGGTTTGCTGCGGCGGGGGTATTTTTCTTTATCTCCTCTTATCTTGTTGAAGAATTCTGTCCTCTCATGAGATACATTACCACTACAGTGATAAAAAATACAGTTAACGACCAATTTAGTTTTTTTTGTACAGTCTCCTCTAACCTTCAGCTAAGTTAAAATTATAAAAAAGTGTATATAAAAGTATATAAATTAAAATATGATTAAAATAAAAAGCTTTAAACTAATTAGAAACAAATGCTGGGTTTTTTAAAGCTGAGTCTAGTTCTAGGAAAAGTATTTTGACTTAGTTCCTTTCATTTAAAAGGTATTTATTTATATTGCAAAAATATAAAATGAAGTTAATAACTTAATAGTAAAATTAAAAAGAACTTAAGTTTCTTATGAATAATGTTTGTTATTAAAAGCACATACTTTTAGGAACTTTGCAGTTAGGCCTAAACAAAACTCTAAAAATAAATACAAAAAACATAATAAACTTGGACAATTTAAAAACTCAACACCCATGTTTCTAAACAGCATTTGATTTTAATGTCTACATTGTTTACATGCAATTCGAAAAAAACATATTTAGTACCAGCAATTTGTTTAAATGAGTGATCAATACTTTAATTACACCGTCGAGCTTAGGATTTACAGTGTCTTGACCATGATGACATTATCCGCAGATTTAGGATCGATTGTAAGGTGCTGCTGTAGTGGAGAAACGCTGAACCGATACAGAGTTCACAGTGCTGCGCTCTTAGACAGTCTGAGTCTGAAGTATTTAAGCAAACTGAAAATGGGTGAGGCTGCCAGTGACAGATATAAAGACGGTCTGAAATATTTTCATTGACAGTTCTGAGTTCACACATTGATCTTATTATTGCTATAAATGCGTTTTAAATATTAATTTTAAAGTCTATTCGAACTACTTTATATTGGGCGACCCTCTATTTCAGAATAATAGAAATTTGTTCTTATCCTGTTCAAATATTCCCGCTGAATTTGTCGTATTATGTTTTCGAACTGTGGCATTATGGGATTATTACGGCTAAAACTGACTGAACTGAACTGAGCGCCAGCGCCATCTTGTGAAGAGGCGTCTGCTGTACACCGAGTCGTATATTTTAATTTCTATTGTGCGGGTACACGGGTGTTATTGTGTGTTTTCGATGGAGCTAGAATTAAGTTTGCCTTATTTGTGTTTTCATGTATCGTGGTGCAAAACTTGTCGTTTTCAATACTAAAGTAAAAAGTGGCTAACAAGGGATCGCCTCCCTCGAAACCTGGCCGATTGTACTCGATTTAATCTTGTTACTTTACACGTGAACGTAGAAATGATTGGCTTCTTAAATTGAATTTGTGTAAAAGGATTTCGTGAGGTGACGCTAAAGGGCTTCCAGTATAAAAGTGTTATACCGCAGAAAAGTACTTCAGTCGGGTAAGGTTCGAGCAGACAGACTATTGCGTCGTCTGTACCCACCACACCCAAGTGGCAGTGGACAGTGTAGTAGTGATCCCTTCCACGGGAATCAAAAGTGTGAGTGCGTGTGCATGTGTATGAGTGTTTATCGTGTGAAAAACCTCGTTTATTTTATGTTCATTCCTTCGTGGGAGTGAGCGGTGTTTAATAAAAGGGTCGATCAACGAGGCCAAAACGGCAGGCAATATAGGAATATTAAGATAATATTGGGTGAGCAACCCTCCGGAGTAGCCTAGGCCAAAACATGGCGTGTTGCCTGTCAGAAGAAGCGAAGGAGCAGAAAAGAATAAATCAAGAAATAGAACGGCAACTTCGGAGGGATAAACGAGATGCAAGGAGGGAGCTCAAATTATTATTATTGGGTAAGTAAATTGAAAAAATATTTTTTGCCTTAACCTATAATTCTTTAAGCCTGTATCCTGGGCTTGGCTGTTGGTTGATAAGGTTTATCAAACGATTGATAGCTTATAGCCTACATTTATCCCATTTAACTTGATGAAAGATTTTATTATTGTGGATGGAGGTGAGGATTCTAGTCTATCTGTTAAATAAATGATTTGGCCTAAGTAACTTATTGTTTGTACCATAAATTAGGACCACCTAGCCTTCTTCGTTTAGGACATGGACGAATGTTTACTTAGGTACGGTAGGCTAGTTATTTTATATTATGATTTGTAGTTTTATATTTGTGTATTTACAAAACCTATGTATTAATAGATTTTCCAAATTTTTAGCGACCAGGCTAGGTTAAGTTTACGCTACATTAATGCCAAGTAACCAACAACTGTTCTTGGAGGTAGAGCAATTTGCTGGGGTTGCTGTAGCTTAATCGTTCCAATAAGATTTTTAGCCAGGAGTAATTGGCTTGTTTACATGACTGTGTAGGCCTAGGTACAAAGAAATCTGATCGGTTCTATTACTTATACTTAACTTAGACTTTAGGATAGCTATCAATCTGAAGTTTTTGTTGCCAGACATTTAATGTTTACACATTAACCCATTGGCGCCGACTTACAAGCGTTACTCGTACGGCCGCTGCAGGCCCGGCGGCCGACTTACGAGTGCCGCTCGTGTCACCGCTAGGCAGCGCCTAGCTTTATTATTTAGTTTTTATTATTTTTCACCCTTTTTGTTTCTTTTTACTATTATAATGTTTATAAATATCTTGCTTCTTGATTTGCGTACTCATTTATTTTACCGAATAACAAACAATTTTGTGTTGCCATGGAAACCACATATCACCAAAAATCAGCTGCGGTAAGGTAAATAAACAATTAAAAAAAAATTATTACTTATAAAAGTACAAAACTTTTAATTTTTCTACGTAGGGAATCGATTGAACTTTATAATAGTAGTGCTATTTGGTGTCTGGATTAATCTTGGAATTTGTATACTTATCAAGATTACTTTCAAAATATTGTTTTAAAAATTTTTATTTTTTTAATCTTTATGTATAGGTATATTTTTTTTAGTTTAGAACTTTGACTACGGTATCCAATTACCACTTTTCTGTAGACAATTTTACTGTGAACAAAATGGTGAAAGATTTATTAATTTATTATCTAAGGTTTTCTTTCTATAGCAGTTAGAGTAAAAGTCTACAAATTCGGTAAAATTAATTGCCGCCAGAGGGTGCTGCAGGTAGCGCATTAATTCCTTCCCCAATGGGTTAACTTAAGTACATGTTTAAAGTAAGTTATGAACTTAATTCCAAAACGGACTAAACACTTGCCAGCCCATGGATGGTTAAGTGTTTGGTTGAAATCCTACTAAGTTAGGCTAAGTTAAACTTTTAAGTTTTGAAAATTATTCAAGCATCTAAAGACAGTTTTGCCCCCCACTGGTAGTAAAAACTGCATGGTTGAAAGACTAGACCTTGCGTACGTTGTGCTACCTTACATAGTGTAGCCTTGCAGGTATAGCCTAAACCCGAGTTATTTCTTCCTACTACAATACCTTGTTACTTAATCCTAAGTTTTATGTGTTGCTTTACTGTTTAACTTAGTCTGTGAGTAGGTAGACTAGTTCCCTTAACTGTGAGACGTTGTGGATGTTTAAATGATCTGCTACGTACCCCATTCCAGTTTGGTTAAAGTTTCCACACCTCAATTTAAAACAACTTACCTGCTGTGAGCAGTCTTTTGAAATAATTTAGTAAGCGTGATTAAAAATTGCGATTGCGTTCAGGTTAGGTTCACTCGAGGAACGAACATCAAAAATTAAGATTTTTACGCGAAAAAGCCAGCACCTGTCGCTGGTTGTGTAGAGCCTATCTTTAAAATATGTGTTTTCTTTGCCACTGCGACCAAGTTTAAAATGTGGTCCTGGTCTAAGTAGACATTTTAAAGCTCCCAGTGGTGTCGAACTTGGGGCACATCCAACCCCCCCTAGAGTAGCCTAAGTTAATATTTATCGCTAAATTAATGTTAAGTTATAACTTAATAATACCTTGCCTTAACTTATGAATGGTTTTAGCCCCGTGCTTCTGACGTTCGATTGTTCCCGTAACTTAGGCCTAACTTACTTTAAAAGCAACTGCCTGAAGGTTAGTCGTGAACACTAAACATTCTTGATAAAATTAAAACAATAGGCCTACAATTAATTAAAAACTTTATATTCTGTCCAAATTATAATGAAGAGACTGTGAGAAAAGTGTTGTCTGTAGGCCCTTCTTGAAATAATTTTACGTTTCTAAGTTTTAATACTGTACCTACTGATTATGATTTTTCTTTCCAAAAAAACTGCTTGAAGACTCCTTTTGAACTATTCTACATTATTAAAAATTTCTAAATTGTGAGAATCATTTCATGTAGCATAACTTAGGCCTAATCAGTTGAATGTGAGATAACTTAAGTACTGGTAACTTAAATGGTCCCCTTCCCCAGTGAAAAGTAGGCCTACGGTACGTATTCACATGTACATTCTTTCATGTAGGCCTACATTTTTTTAACAAACTAAAGTAGTTTAAAAAGAGGATAAATAACAATACCTGCCACAAGATTCACGGATGGCAAAAGCCGCAAACTACCGTCAATTATGAGTTTGCTGTAGCCTAACTTATTTCTGTAGCACAACCCTGTTTCATACAAGACAAAAAATTCCATACCAATAACTTATATTAATTAGGTTGTCCAGTTGGCTAATGAAATTTTTCACTGCTCATCAACTTAACAAAACTAACACTACGTTAATACGGTACTGTTATACTACAAATATAAGTTTGGTGAATACAAATCCTATGGGCAGGTACCGGTAAGTTACCGGTACAGTTTTTTTTATAACACATTAATCTGCTCCAAATGTAAAACTACGGTTGGAAGTAAAATAATCGAACAATATTTATAAGTGTAGAATCCATCACACCAATAAAAAATTACTAAGTTTTACTTAAAACGTAATAATAAACCAAATGATTTAAATTGGACCCTGATGATACGTCGTGAACTTTTTTGTAACAACACAAAAATCCCATTCGATTCATCGTAGGCCTATGGCTGAAAATGTACCCAAATTAATCAAGGCCTCAGAGGCCCTATTTAATTTGTATTACCATAATCTAAATTTCTATAACAAACATTTTAAGCTTTGTTTAAAATGGAGCCTGCTTATAGGCCTACCGTTCTTTAAGACCAAATGTTCTGGTAAGTTAGCTACCTTATAAAACAAGTACTGGTACTAATTTTTTAGCATACTATGGGTAACAAACTATTAAGTTCCAAAAGGAGTATTTTAAAAACAAAGCTGACGACCTAGTACAAATCGGCATTGTTACTACAATAGGCTAGCTTATTGTTTCTAAAACTTGTAAAAATAGGCTTTAAAGCACATTGGACTAAAAAGTACTTTTTTGTAAAATTCACTTCCCTGACATTTAATCATCGGTATTGTCTAAAATATTGATTTGTTCCGACCGATATAGGCCTAACAATTGTGTCAATGCATTTTAGAGTGGATACAAACATTTCATTTTAAGCGCAACATGCAAGCAAAACTAATCAAGTTACTTCCACGAACCTTTCTCACAATATCTGCCTCTTTGAAGTTTTTTACAAGTAACTTGCTGCAGAATGTTTGTTAAACATTTTAAAAATATTCTTTAAATCCATATGGATCAGCTAAATTACTTGCACCATGCCAAAAATATAATTTAAAATATTAAAGAGGCTAGGCTATATTTAAAAAAGGCTATTATATGTAATGTTTTTTAATAGCTTTGTTACTCCTGTTAATGCATGTAGCCTAAATCTGAATGACAATCTTAGTTGTATTCTGATTTACCTATAGATTTGCAAGAATAGGCCTATTGTAAAGAAATGTACAAATATGCAAAAAAGGACTTGAAACCTCAGTTCTAAATGTATTTTTAACATTGCTATTCCATTTAAAACGTGGTATTTTTATTAATAAAATAAAGTGACGCTATCAATACCGGTAAGTTATACAACTGACTTGGTAAAATTAGTAATAGGGCCTAAAAGATTCTAAATCATAAGACCTATTTAAAACTGAATGCTTTTGTGTATGCTTGTCAATTTGTCTGTAAGTTGGCAAGCTTTGTGGGTGGGGCTTTAACTTGCAGTCCTCTGTGGCTAAGGTCTCACGGTTATTGGTTGTAGGTGATACAGTACGTTACTTTTTGTTCAAAATGCTTTTATTTTAGAGTGTACCATACTTTGTTCATCCTAATTGTAATTAATTGATCAGTTGTTACATTTTTTATACATTTCATAGGCCTAGTCTATAGGGCTATAATAGAAAAATTAGTTTTGAGGCATTGCATACTTGCTGAATATCATAGTACCGTAGCCTAAGCCTATTGCATTTCAATTTCCTAACCAAAACGTAAGGTTTAAAAAAAAACTTCTCCGTTGCAGCCTTTAAGAAATTCTCACTCTCAGTATCGTTGTGTACTCAATGTATAACTCAGGTCAACTTAGTTAAAAAAACCTTTTGGTAGATTCTCATTTGGTGATTATCAAATAGGTCCATAGGAAAGTAAAAATAAAAAAACTCGTAAAAGTTCCCAATTCTTGTTTTGTCATTGAATTGGGTTTCAAGTTTAAAAAATTGAAGTCAATTATAATAGGTCAATTATAATTATTATAATAGGCCCATAAGCTATTAATAAGTGTTAATATGAAACGTTACCAGTAGGCCTACAGCACTTAAAAATTACTGCAACCCTACTGCAAGTTTTGATTTTATGGTCTCTCCCCCAAAATAGTTGAATGGTTAGCCAGTAATAATTAAATTTAACTTAAGAAAGTTAAGGTAAGTTAGGATTAGAAACAATTATCCATTGTATTATACTTTCGACCTTATTGAGAACATGTTAATTATTTTCATTAAACATCGTTAAAAA